CTCTCTGCCTGAATGGGAGATTCATTTTCCTCTAACCCTGCCACGCCTGTCACCTGAGTCTCCAAACCACTAAAGAAATTCCTATTTCCCTTCTCTAAAAAGTGCTCTCCATTACCTCTGAAATTTCATTCTAGGGTGGCTCCTGATGCAGGCATATCCTCCATCTTCATCTCTTTGTTTTCTTCTTGCCTGTTCTCTGTGCTCCAGCAGCTTTCCACAGCTCAAGTGCACTTTGTGTCACAAGCTAGACACATAGCCTCTCCCTCTCTCTCAAGCTCCTTACTGAGCTGGGTTATAGAGGCCAAGGTGAACAGCTTGGGGAGGCTTGCACACTGCTCTGCTCAAGGTTAAGAGAAAGAGAAAGGTACTGTCTGCAGAACCTCTCCACCGAAATGGAAATAAAGTAAGGAGTTAATTACTATATCCTGCACCATCATTTGAAGTCAGTCTACAGCAATGTCTCTTGTAGTATGATGGCTCTGACTTTATTTCCTGAATTTTTACTCTGATCTGTATGTACTATTTGAATGCAGGAGGGAAATGGCACTAACTGAATCAGTGAAAAAAAAAATTATTCATTATCAACTATGAATAATCCAACACTAATACTCGTTTTCATAAGGAAAAAGATTTTTTATGTGGTGGTGAAAAACATAAAGGAAAACATGTAATTATATCTTTGTCATACTCTCAAATAGATACAAAACATAGTGCAAATTTTTAAAGCAATACTGCAAATCATCGATATCTGCTATACTAAACCCTATGAAGCCAAAAGGGCTTGGTTTAAATTAAATATTTGTATTTAGTTATGGCTCATCAAGGTAACAACTAAGACTGAATTGTGCTAGCAGTTAACTAGTGATATCAAGTGCCTAGCTGAAAATAGAGAATTTCCATCTGCCTTAACTATTCTGAAAACAAATGAAAAATAGTTGGATGAACACTTTCTTATACCAACACAACAGTGTTTAAATTTTAGCCAGAGTTGAAATTTTAGTTGTTGTCAAGAGCCATCAGCATATAGAAACTTCTCCTCTAGATGAGCTGCAGGCTCTTCAGAAGGCTTGGTTTTACCTTCAGATTGAAATCTCAAGAATGTTAATGAGAAAAGCAATCAATTTTTTTCCTATCAGACAAGGCAGGACTGCTTGTAGTCCCTAAATCCTGAAAAAGGAACTTGTGTTTTTTTCAAGATCATGTTTATTGATCGCAAATGTATCTTATAGTTTGTATGCTGAGTTTAGACTTGGATACCCACAGGTGTGCAGCTACTACTCTATTCTGTGTTTGCTTGGGCTTATTTAAAACCCTAGGTTTATTTAAAATATCTGGATGTGTCTCTCAAATTAGTTTGTTTATAATAATAATGGCCAGTCTTCGCGAGCGAAGATCCGAGGAAGGTTTTTCCACCTTCCAGCCTGCGCATTGGATTTTTTAGGTGAGACACAGTGTGCGCGGAACTGAGCCCACCCTTTAATCCTAAGGTTCATCTGCCGGGGCCAAGCGAGCTTGGACGGTGGCAGCGAGGTCCTCAGGACGTAGGTGGGTTGCCTTTAAGGGCTAACGAGCCCCACCTGCCCGGGAGTGGCCCTGACCGGGAATCGAACCCGGGTCTCTGCGGTGATAGCGCCGCGCCTTTACCACTAGACCACCAGGGGCTCCAATTAGTTTGTAATTATTGAAATATATATATGATCTAATTGTTCATTACTGCTTGTTAAGATACAAAATAAAAACTGCTATAGAGTATTTTAGTGAAATTAAAACCATACGCTCCAAACTTTTTACATTCTTTTTTTTTTCAATGGATTGGATAAGTTTCTTTAAGTGCGTGGAAGTGTTTAAACTAAATGGAGCAAGGAACCCATGTATGTGTTTCTAGATGGTGATGTAAATCCCCTAGTGAGCCACAGTAATAGGAAAGCAGCACTTGAAAGCCAGATGCAATGAAAATTTAAACATATTGCGTTCATAGCATGTGATAGTTTAATCATTATTTAAGCTTTAGAAATGTCACAGCATAATTACTTTCAGAATGAGTACAAACACTTTCACGCACAAAAATTGCTTTCTTGCTGCAACTTTTGCTTCTCATGGGAAAGTTATGCTTTTGTGAATTTTCTGAACTTGATCTTGTTCATCACTTGATCACAGACAAATTCTCAGTGAAAACTCAAAATCCAAAAGATTAAAATAAAGCCTAGAGATATATTTTAAAACTAAACATGTATTTTCTTTATGCTCTTTAAAAAAAAAAAAAAACAAACCTGTGAAACTACTTCTCTCATTAAGGAAGAAAAATTGCAACAAAATCAGTTAAATGGAAAATGCTTTGTAAACCCTATTTGCACTGTCAAGGAATGGAAAGTTACCAAATGCTGGATTTATAAGCACCCATTCAGGATTAAATTCAGCTCTTCTGTGGAAGTGATACATTTTTACAAACCTCACAAGCATACATGGAGCCCTGCCTCCTTCTGTACTGCTGAAATACAGGGACCAGTACTTATGTTCTAAATTTGTCCTGTATCTGGAATGTTCTGATGAATGCAGTTGACTTTGCAGTATAAATTCTGTTGATATGTAAAATAGTATCATAATCCCAGACTAAATTTAGATGCAAACACTTCCACTTTACATAGCCTACTACGATTTGTTTATAATATGAGCAGTTTGGGTTGAATTTTTGAAAATAGCAGTTATAATGGTTCTGCCATATCTGAGAAACAGGCTAGAGAAAAAAATACTCTCCATGTATTTTGGGGGTGGGGTTGTTTGCACATTTTCTAAGCAGAAATCTTTTTGGAGCAGCTGTATGTCCTCATAGCAAAGATTTAAAGGTCATAAAATTACCTTTGTATCAGGAATGTACTGGAAGTTACTTCTGGTAGATTCATTGGAATTTTTCAATCATGAGTCTTTGTAAACCTGAACTTTTCACATGTTCTGTAGGAGCAAAATCATAGTAATCATTTCACATCCCTTAAGGTTTGTGTCACTTTCTGTGCTCTCATGAGCTTGTCAGTGCTAACCAGAAGATAAATCTGTCATTCCTGTGGAGCCACTGAGTGTGCTGTAGATTGTACCTGTGGGGTTGAAGGTAGACTTCTCTGTAACCCATGCAATGGCCACAGTATAACCCTTTTCTCTCCTGTTGTATTTCACCTACTGGGCCCTGACAGTAGAGACCAAAATCACTGGAGATATAGAAAGGGATTAAGCAGGTATTCTTTAATTTAGCTCTTCATGTATCATAGAATCATAGAATCGCAGAATGGTTAGGGTTGGAAGGAACCCTAAAGTTCATGTACTTCTAACCCTCCTGCCATGGACAGGGACACCTTCTACTAGACCAGTTTGCTCAAAGCCCCACCCAACCTAGCCTTGAACACTTTCCATGGATGGGGCATCCACAGCTTCTCTGGGCAACCTGTGCCCAAGTTTCACCACCCTCACAGGGACAAATTTCTTACTACTGTCTAATCTGAACCTACTCTGTCAGTGTGAAGCAATTCCCTCTTGTCCTATTACTACATGCCCTTGTAAAAAGTCTCTCTCAATCTTTCCTGTAGACCCCCTTCAGGCACTGCAATGCCACAGTTAGGTCACCCTGAAGCCCTCACTTTTCCAGACTGAACAATCCCAGTTCTCTCAGCCTTTCCTCAGAGGAGAGGTGCTCAAGCCCTCCGATAATCTTTGTGGCCCTTCTCTGGACTTGCTCCAACAGAAATTCCTCCTGTGCTGAGAACCGCAGAGATGGATGCAGTACTCCAGATGCGGTATCACCAGAGCAGAGTAGAGGGGCGGAATCCCCTTCCTCAGCTTGCTGGCCACACTGCTTTAGATGCAGCCCAGGACACAGCTGGCTTTCCGGGCTGCAAACACACATTGCTGTGTCATGTCCAGCATCTCAGCCATCAGCACCCCATCAACACCTGCCCTTCTTGGCAGGGCTGCTGTTCAGCCTTTATTGATACTAGGAGTTGCCCTGACCTGGATGCAGCACCTTGCATCGGTCTTCTTAAACTGCATGAAATTCTCATGGGCCCACTCCTTGAACTTGGCCAGGTCCCCCTGGGTGGCATCCCATCCTTCAGGTATGTCAACTGCACCACTCAGCTTGGGGTCATCTGCAAATTTGCTGAGGGTGCACTCAATCTCTTCATGAAAATAAGACTGTTCCCTGTCTGATACATGGTCTAAGGGCAAAAATTGGGAAATTTGCTATGAGCATGCAGTAAGCTAAATCACTTGTTCATGAACTTAATGAATATTAGAACATGTTTTAGTTTCACAGAACTACCAAATAACTGTGGAAAGTGTTGGTGTTCATGGTCCTGACATGCCCTTTAGTCTGGCAGTCCCAGTTTAAGCTCCCTGCCTATACATGCAGTGCTGTGATGGAGAAGGTAAGATAGGCTGACAAAACAGTCCTCAAAGATTCACTGAGATCAGGGTGTGTCCTGCATGATGAGAGAGCAATTATTATTTTAAAGGCTGCCATCCTTCCCTACAGGCACCAAAGCATTACGTCACTATGTGCATAGGACAGAGTGGCAGTAATCAATAGATGTAATGTGCTGGGGGCCTGTGGAGGGACAAGTTAGCATTTCCCAGGCAGAACGACTGGATATAATTAAGTGAAATAAACGAGGCTTATCCTTAGGGGGGAAACAGCCATCATCAACTGTTGTGAGTTGAAAATCAAGATTTCTTTATCAAATAGTACAGTTGGGTTTGTTTAAGCATAGAATTTCTTCATCGGTCGAAACCACACATTTCTGGCAAAGAAGGCAATATGGTCTGTTGCTTGAACACAATAATGATGATGACTGAGTGGTAAAGAAACAAAGTAAGGTATGTGATTTTTATTACTGACAAGCAAAATTGAAAATCTGAAGCCAGATACATCTGATAATTTCAAGGTTCACTTGACATAATATAGGTATGCTCTTTCACTGAGACTTTCTGACTGCTCTCAAATCCTGTCCTCACAGGGCCCGGCCTCCTCTCCCAGAGCGCACTCCAACTCAATTCCAAACCTGAAGGGTCTTTCCAGTACTCAGCCAGCTACCACAGCAACCAGACCCTCGCCCTGGGCGAAACAGCAGCTGCCCAGCTCCCGTCCCGCAGCAGTCAGGCCAGAGGTGCCATCCAGAGCTACAGCCAGGTACGTGTCCTAAGCAATTGGTATCTCTCACATCTGAATTTCTGTTGAGTACAGGAAACAGAACTGTTCAGTGCTTGCCTGCACCTAAATTTCTGCCTTTGCTTTTTGTCTTGTTCAACACACCTGCAGCAGGGTGGAGTTACCATCTTGATGTCTGTAAATCTAGAGTGGGTTGACTTGCATAGTAATTAAGTAATCCTGATTAAAAAGGGGATTTACATGCCAGTTTTACTTACTCACTTGCATATATTTTCTGGTAATAGCATGTTTAAGCATTTAATTTTGAAAGCAAATTTCTGTGACTGTGCTGATTAGGAGCCCATACTAAGGTTTAGGACCTGCCAGCTTTGGTATGAGCGTATTACTGAAAGCAGTAAGTGCCAGGAAACAAAAACAAAACCACACTGACACCAGATGCGAAACCTGCTTGGGATATCATGCATCACCTGATGCTGTGTCCTAATCCCAAGTGTAAGAATAACTTTATTGCAAAACAAGCAGCTTATCAGACAGTCACCTGTACATTTGAAACATTTTAAAAGATTGTTTCAGATACTCATGAAAATTTTGTAAATATCTCTGTCTACACGACCCTTCCTGGCTCTTACATGTAACCCTTTCATCTTCTGTGCTTTTTACTGTGACATCAAAGCCTCTCACTAGGAAGTTAAGCTTCAATTAGACAAAAATTTCTGGAAGTGTTTATGCTTCTGTTCCTAAACAAAGTCTAACTGGGTTGCGTTGGTCAGCACAGGTTATTTTCTCTGTTTAGATTTTAACCATCCCAGCAAAGCAGATCATCTCAGTGTGACACTGAGACATTTCATAATTCAGGATTCTGTAGAGGAGAGTAGTATTTGAATTTCAAAGCCTTAAATTGCTAAGAGATTTCAAGTATTATAGTCATTGTGCAGTTTGTGGGACTCTGAGAGACTTACAATATTCTATTCTCTCAATTTGCTGAGAAAAGCTCCCTATCCTCTAAGACTGAAAAATGACATAAAGCACAGTTACATTTAATTTCAAATTGGGTAGGTACATCTTTTTCATAGAATCTTCTAGGTCAGAAAAGACCTCTAAAAACATGGAGTCCAACGGCTAACCCAGCACTCCAAAGGTCATCAATAAAATATGTCCCCAAGTGCCACATCTGCATGTCTTCTAGATACCCTTAGGGATCATGACTCAACCACCCTTTCAGTGAAAAAATTCTTCCAGATGTCCAACCTGAGCCTCAGCTGGTACAGCTTGGGGCTATTTCCTCCTGTCCTATCACTCATTACCTGGCAGAAGAGACAGCCTGGCTACAACCTCCTTTCAGGTAGTTGTAGAGAGTGATGAGGTCTCCACTGAGCCTCCTCTTCTCCAGGCTAAACAACCCCAGCTCCCATAGCTGCTCCTCTTAAGACTTCTGCTCCAGACCCTTCTCCAGCTCTGCTGCCCTTCTCCAGACCCACTCCAGCACATCAATGTCTTTCTTGTAGTGAGGGGTCCAGAACTGAACACTGGATTCAAGGTGTGGCTTCACCAGTGCTGAACACCCGGGGATGATCACTGCCCTGATCTGGCTGGCCACACTATTCCTGAAACAGAGCTCTCCCCAGTACTGAGCCTTGGGGAGCCCCAATAGAGGCAGGCCACCAACTCGATGTAGCATCATTCATCACCACTCTGTGGGCCCAGCTATCCAGACAGCTTTTCAACATAGCAAAGAGTGCACCCAGCCATGCCATGGGAAGGCAATTTCTCCAGGTGAATGTTGTTAAAAACAGTGTCATCTGGAGCTGTGCTTTTTGAAAAGCATTGTACCCTGGAGGTTCACCTGAAAGACTGTGGTGAAGTCCTTGAGGAGACTGGAAAAAGTAAGACCACGAAAAGGGAGCAGGTTATGAGAGCAACAGAAGCAAAAACAAAGAAGAAATTAGAGGGGAAGGCAAAAGAATCTATTTTTAAAAAAGGCAAGAAGGAAAATTATGCAGTTATGTAGAGGTTAGAAATAGTTATAGTCTTCATATAAAATTTGTTATTCTCATTGATAGAAAAGGATGAATTTACAGAGGAGGAAAAATAATTATCTAGATTTCCTTCTTTGAAATTACACCGAAAACCACAGCTTAGATCTGAGAAGCTCTCATGAACCATCCACTTCACAGAGAACTGGTTTCCTTCAGAAAGGTAACTAGTAAGTTAGTAAGGCAACCTTTCCTATCCTTTGTTTTCTTGGTATAGAGGGCAGAAAATAAGTTTTCTTCTCGTTTCCCTCCACACTGTGTGGTAGATTTCCTATAGAAAAATAACTCAGAGAACTTAATAATTTTTCACACCACGATCCTGCAATCTGACAACTTCAGATCAACTAAAATATATTTTGAAATTACTAACAGACTGTCATATAAACTATGAATTAACGCCATAAAAAGCAGATAAAGGAGGCTTAAAAGAGGTAACCAAGAAAAGGAAGATTCAAAAGTCAAAATTATAAAGTTCTCAATATGACCGTTGCTGATCCGACAATTAAGGAGGAAAAAAATGTCAATTCTTGGAATTGGTTTGCTATCTCTATTATAATTAAAATAAGCCTCAGGAGTTGAAACTGCTCAGTTTGTGATAATTTCCTTTGGTATTTCTGTGCAAGGAATATAGCTATCTCTCAACATACGTGATAGCCCAAATGCATGCAAAGAAAATGTAAATAGTCCCAAGGCCAGCTGTGACAGCAAGAACAATTTGTGAAAATGCAATTGTATAAAAAAGAGAAACTAATTAGTCTTGGGACTTCCTGTATAGTGCTACAAAGTGCAATCTAACATTTTTGTCAATTTGGTGGAGTTCATTATAGATCATAGAGTTTTTCCTGTGCTTTGAGTGCTTTAGAACACAAAACTTTTATCTTCTAAATGATACTGGAATAGGATTTCATAGCAAAAACTGCTCCTCTGGCAGGGAATTACTCTGCTTCCCCACTGAAAACAGCTTTTCAAACTTGGTGTCCAGATGCTGATATATCCTCTATTAATCAACAAGGTTTATTTGTGAAGAGTCAGTAGTGAGTTTTAATAAAAGAAAACTAGCAGATTTTGCAGATGAATTGCTCAAAAGTGCATCTTCTGTTTAGACAATGTAACTTGAGAATGACCGGGTGTCATGGACACCGGGTTTACTGTACTCTTGAGAGTGGTCATCTTTTGTTGTAGATACCATAGGAATATAAAGCATAACATGTTCTGCCATGTGTTTGCAAGTGAACAGAAAGGGAAGTTTACATTTCTGGATGAGGACTTGTTTAGCTTTTGGTAATGCTGCAGTCTTTTCAGAGGCTGAGGCAGCAACACAGGTAAATCCTTACTGTGTATTATCCCATGCTCCTGATGCTTCTGGACTGAATAAGCTGACACAGAATTGAAAACCCCTAAAAACCAAAAAGTTGATGGAAAATGAAGCTGTTAAAAAAACCCACCTCAAACCATTTAACAGTTAATTTTCTAACTTGTTTATACTCTTTTTCTTATAGACAAGTCATAAGTTTGTCATTCATCAGACCATCACACCTCACTAGCCCTATTTAGTGCATGAGCAAATGAGTGCTAGAATGTGTTCAGTTGTCAAGCAGAAACTGTATGCTGTCCACAAGATGATAGGCTGCTTCAAAAACTACCCAGACAAAATCTAAAATAAGTTCTTAACTTCTGATAGGATATAGTAGATGACATGTTTAATAACTGGATTCTAAATGTGAATATGAGAAGTTTTCTGTCATTAAGGAAACAGATGAAATCTTAAGACAGATTACTCTTATTACAGCACTCAGAGAACAATTCACTAGTAGTGCTTATGGCAGTGAAGATCTGCAGTGCTGGTTTAATCCTACAATAGGTAATGATTGCAGCTTTCATTGCTGCTTTAAAAGCAGAGATTGACCATCTCTGGACACTCTGTGAAAGGATTTCACACAATTCTGTTTCTGGATGTAGAAAACTACAATAATATTATCTACCTTCAGCTATATGTGTGGCCATTGAGATCAGGATAAGGTAGGCTGACAAATTTTTCTAATGGTGTTAGAATGTTTGGGGTGGAACTATGGAACAAAATCAGGAGAAACAGATGGAATAGGCCATATTTGAGAGATCCAGAGGATAGTCTGGCATTTATTACTGTTTAAGTGCATTTGAACATAGGTAACATCTTCGTGATGTTAGGTCAGGAACTTATAAATTAAAGCAGTCCTGCAGAAAAAGGGCCCTCCTTCAGGTCCTGCCCAAAGACTGAAGTGTGCATCCCAAAGACTAGAGAATGTTAAGAATTTCCCATGCACTCTTCTGCCCTATATAAGAGTTTTGATAGAGGCATTGGACCAGAGCAGAGTGATACCTTGAGTGAAGCCTTATGGAACATTCTTTGGGTTGACAGAAAAAAAAGTAGCCCTCAATAAACTGGCAAGTCTTGCAGTCTCTGAAAGAGCACAGAGCATAACTGAGATTGTGAAACAGACCTGCATGCTTAGGGTGTCTCTTGAAAACCCTAGTAAGGATGATCAAGTTTTCTGCCTAAAGCTAGCAACACACACCAATATTCAAAAGCCTAAGCAGCCTGGGGGGATGTCTTCCACACAACTTGAGCATACAATTGGAAAATCCTCCCTAGAATCAAGAGAAAGGGTCTTTACATGGGCATCAGTGTGGTACATATGATTATGTTTGTATTCATGAGATATGATCTTGTTTTTGATTTTAAGGGCCAAGAGATGCCTGAAAGTTCCTGAGAGCAAAACGAGCTGAAAGCTTGTGCTGGCATTTATTGCTAAACTAAAAGTGCTTGTGAACAGAATCTTATCCAGACCTAAGATGAGCATGTAGACTGACTCAAATGTAACATAACTTTTCCGTTTCTTCTGTTACCTGTCAGAGAAGTACAAAGGACACTGAGTGCAAATTATCATTTCTCAAAGGTAACTAGCACCATGATTCAAATTTTTCCAGCATTTTCCTGGAAATTGCATCATTACCTCATTCTCAGGAAATTACTAGGAAGGCTTTTCTGGTTTTAGTTCTGTTTCTGAGACTCAGGTGGTTGCACTGACAGAAGTTCTGTTTCTTAGCACCTGTGAATTATAGATACACAAGCATAGATACACAGACCCCAACAGGTTTTGGGTTTCTGTTTTCACATCTTAAAGAAGCAAATGGTTTGAAGGGATTATAGATGATACATCAAGTAGATTTGCTGCACCTTCTGACATCATAATGGTCGTCTTGTTCTCTGAGATTTTTGCTATTCAGGTTTTGCTAGTGTTAGACACCTTTTTCCCTCTGGGAGCAATCTCCAGGAATCAACATGCTCCTGTTTCAGTAATTAGCAGCTGACCCCAAAGTTTCACATAAACCGTCTAGTCATCTAGGATTTTGTAATTCCTTATCCATGAAAAAATTTTCTGCAGAATAAATAAGTCAACACAGTTATTTGCGCCTCTCAATTCCACTCCATAAACAGAAATCCTATCATGCAGTCTTTCATTTACTCCTTTTTGGTTAATTTAATGTTTCAATTCTGATATACATTTGCAATTGGAATTGCAAAAAAAAAGGGAAAAAAATCCACACAAACAAAAAAAGCTATTTTTCCTAAAATTTAGTGCATTAAATGCTTGAATGAACAGACAAACAACAGTTAGACTGTTGTCTAGTCTCCTATAACCTAACTGGAAACCCTCAGTAATTTTTTGTATACAAAAATATTTCTTGTTTTGTCCGTATCAGTAGAAAATGATCTTTGTAAGATTAAATGGGGAAGAAAATATTTTCATAGCTGTATTAATGTTCTCCTTGGTTTTGTTTTTGTTTTTTTTTTTTTTTCACAAATTCCTGCTACTAGAAAGCATATACCAGAATCCATATATTGAATGCAAATAAGCAAGGCTACTTTTCTTTGGGATACTAGAAAAATGAAATCTTTGGTTTTTAGAATGAGTATTTATAGGTCTTTAGTACGAAAGTCCTTGACTTTTATTCACTTCTATGAAAGAGGTTGATGCAGGAGGATATAATAATTGGGATGCAAATTTGTTCTCAGATTATTAGCTTAAACGCAGTTTTGTTATGAGGTTGACAGTAATGGATAAAAGGAAAAATACCATTGTAATTCATTCTTATATATGAAGTATGTCATATTGCAGGATGAACAATGACATGCCTGTATGGATGTCTTAGGCAACAGACTGGGAGAAACACAAGGAGAAACTAAAACACATTTTGCCTCTGAAAACATACATGGAGAATGTTACTGTACACTTGTCCCTTTGAAAAAATATAAGAACCTCATGGTACATTTAAGACAGGTCTGAGATTAGTCACATCCTAGAAAATACTGCATGCTAATGTTTTCATTGCAGTGTGTTCACCCAAAAGTTCTCTACTTCACACAGAGCAAATGCTTAGCCTTTTAAGAAGGGCTATACACTGCACTTCTAATTAAGCATTTAATTCTTGTGTCCCTCCACTATACTTTGCTCCATATAACAAATAGTCATGAAATGGGATTTTATTTTTTTGTTTTTGTTTTTTTGAATTAGTACTTGTAGAATGCCCACAGCTTTATAGAGATTTATTAGGAATATGGAATAACATTGGTTTACTTGAAATTAATTACTCTAAATCCCTGACACATCAAGCAGCGTGGAAGCAGATTAGAAAAAGAAATTTTGTATACATGATGATAATACTTGTGTAAAATCCTTATGATCAAGACAAAACTGTCCAATTTACCATTATGTTAGCAGTGTGTTGCAGAAGACCCAGGTACTATTGCAGAAGACTGTATTTTTGGAACAGCGTTTATTACAAAACAAATTATTATGCCACTTAACAGTCCAAAAAGTAATATTTATTTACAAATACCAATTGATAATGTAGCTGGTTTGAATGACCTTTCGTTATGTGCAGAATTTGTTCTGTCCATGTTGTCTTAAATCATGCTGGCTTGTTTTTGTTTTATAAAAGTTGTTACCATATAGTCTAAACCTGGAAAGTGAAAACTGTACTCCTGTCAAATACATTATTGGACAGTCAGTTGCAGAGTAGCCCTTCTTCCCAGTTTAAAGCAGACACGGTAAGTAGCTCAGCATGAAAGTAGCTTTTGAAAGTTCATTGATGTTCCTAGAGCTGGCCTTCCTGATTTTTGTCAGGAGTGTTTCAAACGAGCAACTTGCACTTGTTGCCCATTTATGAAAATTTCAAGCCTTGTACTTGATGCTGTGGTGTTTGTAACTCGCTGCTGCCATCAGAACAGTCCAACTCAAAAGACAGCAGGCTACTTACATCTGTGATCCACTTGCTCGTCCTGGAGTTACCACACAGAGCACCTCGAGGGAATAGTTTACACTTCATCTATCTGTAAAGCCATTGCTCTATGAGGTGCAAAACCTCTCGGAAGCCAGTGAGGTTTGGGTCTGGCAGTGCTCCCTTGAGAGGCCTGAACGCAATAAGTGTTGTAGTTTCTTCCCTGCTACTAACAACTGAGAGCAAAGCACCAGGAGCAGCTTCTCTAAAACCTTGTTTCTTGTCGCTCTCTAGGAAAATACATATTCTTCCCCCAGATGCAAGGCATTTAAGATGAAAAAAAGGACAGAAAAGTTCCCAGTGGGCATACATAGGTAGAAGTACACATTTCTGGCATTTTGAACCTTGTTTATTCTTTACTCTGATTAGTTACCTTGTCCTCAGTTCCTGACCAAATCCTTTATTGAGTATCCTAGTGAAAATAAATCAAATTTCATAGCAGGAACATGGTGCTTTTTCTTACTTATTTGGTTTTCTTTTTTTCTGTCATCATGGCTAGGCTTCACGAACGAAGATTTGAGAAGGGCTCTACCCACGGTTGCTACAAGCGCGTTGATGGCTAAAAAGGCCAATGCGAGATAGACAAGTCCGGTTGCAATCTGGTTTTTTCTGTAGGACGCTACTAAAAACCCACATTGTTATTTAAATGTATAACAATGCTGCTCTTGGCATTCATCACACCTCTTTGAATTGAGTCACAAAACTCATTATTCTCATTTTAAAGCCTCTTCTCGCTAATGAAATCAGTAGCTGAGGTGTGCGTGTGTGCTCCGGCGAAGCACTGGTCACACCGATTCAAACCACACTGTCTATATTCTGAGGATGTGGAGCGCTTTCTGAGGTTTCAAGTAAATCCCCTGCATAACCAGGAAAAAAACCCCAGTATCTGAATCCAAGAGTGCATCTTCCAACAGTGCTGAGCTCTCGCTCACTGCGGGGTGCAGTTATGAGAGGATTTTAATGTTACCAGATTCACAGATGTTCTCCTGAGCTTAAGATCCCCGACAAAAAAAAGGGGAAGCCGTCTGTGTGAGGGCAAGCTCCATCCTCTGCGGCTTCAGAAGCTGCTCAGGCACATAATCGAAATTTCTCATAGGCAGCATCTCCCGAGGATTTTCGCTCGCTCCTTTTGCCCAGCCCCCTTCAATTACCGCCCTTCGGAGGAACTTAGCGCTGCCCTGCCCTCGGCCAGCCGGTCCGTGCGGGGAGCTCCCTCCCTCCATCCGGATGCAGGTTCCCCGCTGCATGCGGTCCGGGGGAGGGCCCGGCCCCGGCAGCTCCTCCCGTACCTCCCGCCCCTTTCGTGCAGCGTAAATAAGTACGAGGCGGCCGCTTTCCGTGCTGCCGGCGGGGCTTGGCGAGGATGGGCCCGGGATTCCCCTCCCTCCGCCCCTTTACACGACGCCGGGGCCGTGGTCCTGCTGCCTCCGGGGATAGGGAATCCCCGGTGCGGTGCCTGCCCCCGTCCGACGTGGTGCCTCTCCTCGTGCGGACAGAGATTGCTGGAAACCGAGGAAAGTTACTCCATTAAAGCCCTTTCCGTGGTTTCGGCTGCTCTTCTATAATGTATGCAGAATAAAGGGGCGCGGGCGTACCTCTGTATGCATGTATTTATTTGAGCCGGGGCTAACCTCTGCCTGGTTTAGGGATCGGCAGGCGAGCGCGTTCCGGCGCCCCGGAGCGCTGCGCCCCACGGCCGGGTGCCGGCTTCAGCCGTCGGGAAGACTTTCGACGCCGCTGGGCCCGAGCCGGCGGCAGGTTTTTTTTCCCCTCTCAAAGGCTGGGAATGCTTTAGCAGATTAACGAGCCCCGTAATCCCGCGGGCGCCGGGTGCCGATCTGCTTCGAGGTCAGAGAGGGTGCTGCGGGCAGCCGGGGGGCTTCCCCGGCCAGCGGGCCCCCGCCTTCGCAGGGCCGGGGTGAGCGGGGCGACCCCCGCCGCCGCCCCCCGCTGACGCCTCTGCCTTTCCTTCCCGCAGCAGGGCCCGGGGGGCCGCGGCGCCCACCCGGGCGGCCCGGAGCCGCCGCCGCCGCCCGCCGCCCCGCAGCCGCGGGAGCCCTTCGCGCCCAGCCACGGCAGCGCCTTCCACCTGCCCGAGCCCCAGCACGCCGCCGCGCTCTACTACGCCAGCTCCACGCTGCCGGCGCAGCGGGTGAGCTCCCCGCTGCCCGCCCAGCCCGGCGGCTCCCCCACCAAGCTGCCGCGGGCCGGCTCCGCCGCCGAGGGCGCCGCCTACGCCACCGCGCAGCGCCTCTCCTCCCCGAAGCAGTCCCCCAGCCGCCTGGCCAAGTCCTACAGCACCAGCTCGCCCATCAACATCGTCGTCTCCTCGGCGGGACTGTCGCCATCCCCCATCCGAGTGACCTCCCCGCCCACCGTCCAGTCTAACATTTCCTCCTCTCCTATCCACCAGTTAAGCTCCACCATCGGCACTTACGCCACCCTGTCGCCTACCAAGCGGCTGGTTCACGCTGCCGATCAGTACAGCAAGCACTCCCAGGAGCTGTACGCCACCGCCACCCTGCAGAGACCCGGCTCCCTCGCAGGTAAAACCGCGGCCGGCAGCGCCTCGGGTCCGCGGCGGGGGACGGGGGGTGCGCGGAGGCGGTGGGGGCGAGGGACGGGAGGCGGGGTGGCAGGCCGCCGGCCGGGGAGGGGTGGTGGGGAGCGGGATGGGTTTGACAGAAATCCGGTAAATGTGGGAGGACTGTGGGTGGGTTTCATCCCGGTTCGTGCCCGTAGATGCAGACTGCCTGCCCGCTGCTTGAGGAAAGTACCTGACTTCTCCCGGCTTGTCCCGCCTTCCCGGCGCCGGGCAGGTGTGCGTGGTGCCGAGGGGGATGCGGGGCTCGCCGCGCCGAGCTCCCCGCTGTGACCCGCGGTGCGGGTGGGGGTTTGTTACTATGGCGAATCCCTTCTCTGCCGCGATCAGAACCTGTGAGCCTTTTGCAAAGAATCGCGCATCCCCGGATTTACAGGCGATTCTGGCGTACTTGACAAGTTTGGGGTTACTTAGCAGAAACTCCTGGTGTACCGAGTCGTGACGAGTAATAGGTAGCGGTGATTTGGCTTCAAGTGCTCTTTGGGGAACAGGCAGTTACAGCTGATTTAATGTCTCTGTAACCGCAGACTTTGAGCAGATCCTAAGAAGTGAGATACTGGTGTGCTGTTCTCTAAACCATCTCTCTGCTAAACTGAGCATCCTTCAAGGGGTGTTTTTTTTTTGTGTTCTCAAAATTTCCAGTTTCATTGCTATAGTAACAGCTGCTATGCTCATATGTTCTCTTCTGTGACATAAATAGATTTGAAGATAAATAGGATACATAAAGAAGTTTAGCTGAGTTTATCGGTCAGGTACACAAGTTTCTTACTGGAGTTAAGACCTCATCCCCCTTTCTCCTTTTACCCATCTCCCCTCCCCCACTCCAGCTGTTGTTAGCATCCTATGTAATTCCAGTGTGTCTAAACACATACATTGAATTAACTGATAATAAACTACAGTTGTAATCTATCTCCTTGTAAGAACTATTTGATGGAGGGCTTTTTCATATTTAAAGGGCAGGGATTTAGAAACTTTATATATGTTTATATATATATATAAATTTCAGAATGTGTAAAGCAACAGAATCACTAAATAATGCTAAAATGGAGATCTTGGGGCACTTATATCAAGCCTGTTGTCAAATAGCCAAGCTCAAAATACAAAATGGTTTATTTATAAATAAATAAACCATTAGTTATATTAGTCAAACTTCCCCCATTGTAGTCCATCATACCCTTGGCCACAGGTATAAAATAGTACCTTTCTAAAGAGAAAATTTAAAATTGCCACAGACTTTTTATTTTAGGGAGTTTTCTAACTTCATCCTGTAGCAAAAGTTGTTGCGGTATAAAAAGGCATGGAGGGAGCTGTCAGCATCAAAGAACAGAGAAAAAAGTAGATTTAGAACTTATATACCTGTGGCTATGAACAACCAGTATTTTCCTGATTTTTCTTACCTTTGTTCTAGGATAGAAGTCTTTGGGAAGTTTCTAACAGGCATGGTCCATTTTTCTGTTTTATATACTTTTAGCAAAGGAACCTGTATGGTATTGGGGTTTTGGTTTGTTTTTGTTTGTTTGTTGTTTTGGTTTTGTTTTTTTTTTGAAGAAGGCATCTTTTACAGCATTGCAGCATCAAATTGTGATGATAGCTTAGTCAGAACTTGTTTCTGTAGGGTTTAAGGTCCGTCATAATAACTCTGAAGGTGCTAGAGTGTTGGAGGAGCTCTTTGTCTTAGGCTAGATCCAAGCTGTGATGTGAATTTAGGCTTTTTGGCCTTTTTGGCCAATAGTGATTCTACAGGCATTCCTAATAGGGCCTTCTAGTTCAATTTGAATAAAAGTTAAGAAACTGACATTCATTTTCATGGACTGCTTTTAAACAAATGCTATTGATAAGAGTTCTTCTGCATCTTGCATAACCTGCCTCTTTTTAAAGCCTACTGCAGGGAGTTGCTTGATTCATTGATTTATGGCTTTGGTGAAGAAAAAACCTGTACATACATGCATTTAGGAAGTGGCTGGTTTATTTTTGTGCAGATTTTTGTATGGAAGCAAAATAGTGATTGATCATTTGAGTTTCCTGTTAAGTTTGTAAAAATTTATAAACAGCATGAATTTTTCTGAGTGTTGGGTTGACCAGAACAAATATACCAATCTCCTGAGTCATTGTATCTCATAAGGATTTGCTTTAAGATATGCAAAACCTCTCTTTGTTTTATTTCATAACAAATGGAAAATCCTGTAATCTGAATAAGTATTAGGTGGCAGAAATGAAGAGATAGTATTGCTACTTGAAAAGAATCAGTGTAAGCAACAATAAGTTAATAAATACCTTCCCCCCCCGCCCAGTGGTGACATGCCTTTCAAGTAGTCCTTGAAAGGAGCTCTATCACATGACCCATTCTTTTGCAAAGGATTCCTATTGTGTGCTCCCACCCCTTATTTTCCATTGCCATTCTGAAGCTTGTTCCTCATGGCCTCCCTGCCATCCCGGAATTACACATTTGCTAGCAGTGTTAAGTGCCTGACTAATCTTCTAGACTTTCACTGGATTCCCTGAAGTCTATGGACTACACAGGGGCTTAAAATTAACATATGCTTTAGAGCTAGGCAGGATCAGATGGTACAGATACTACTAAAGCAACCTTTATTATTTTTTTCTATGGGTATTTTTGCTCACAACAGGTTTAGTATTTGAGTTGTATATGTATTATATATTACAGGAGCTTTTCAATCATTGTGTTAAAAATCAAATCCATGGAGAGGGATAGCATGCAATTGTATTTTGAAAGGCTAATAAGGCTAATGTTCAATAAATAACATTTTTGCTTCCTGTTCACAACATCTAAAGATGAGTTGGGTTTTTTTGTTGTTTTATTTGTTCCTTTTGTTGTTGTTGTTGTTTTGGTGGTTTGTTTGTTGTTTTTGTTGGGCTTTGGTTTTTTTTCGAGAGAGAGGAGAAGGAGTGGAGAATAGTTGTCACATTGCACTGATTGATGGTTTGCCTGCTGTGATTAATGTGAAGGTACATTGATATGTATGTGTCATCACAGGGATGATGTTATATGAAGTAATATTTTTTTAATCTCTGGGAATAAAAAAATTATTATTTGTAGTAATTACTGGAAATACAAATAATACATTTGTTTTAATTATTTTTGCGATATATCAGAAATTTGTCCTGGAGCTGTCTAGTTCATGAGTAATACTGGGTTTCAGTGTGCTAAACAAGCCAAATTGCATCACTGCCAACCTTAGGTATTTAAAAGAGAAGACATTCAGATATGATCCATTTTTAAAAAGACTGAAATCAAAAGTTACAAAGATTGCCCAAAACATAATCTGTGTAAAACTTAACTGAAGAGATGGCATTTTTTATATTAATTTCCTACAAATTCGATTATGAAACAACTTGAAATTATAAAAATGGCAATTCTTAGACTTCATCCTGAATTTCAAATGAGACATGCAACAGCATGCAATGACTCAGTTTTAACCGAGTAACCTTAGAAACGTCTTCAGAAATGGCTTTTAGTCTAGTTATACTTGAGCTGTTGCCATTGCCAAGTATGTGCGTGGATGGGTATGTGTGTACATGTGTATATAGTGATTCTGGTGAGTGTACACTTGCTGTGTTTATTCTTAGTCTAGCTGCTTCATTGCTATGATCTGCAATTACAGTTTTAAAAGTATTTTTCTGCTCTGCACCACTCCAAAGCATATTCCGTCATCTATTCAAGCAGCAATTTGAATCTAGAAAGCGCAGTTTGTAAATACCTTCTTGTAGCTTCCACACCTAGACTGAGCTGCAGAGTGCTGCTGTGAGCAAAACTCACCAAAGCAGCCCTTTTTGCATGGAAGGAGAAGTGTGTAAGACAGCAAGCAGCAGAAACATCCCTTCAGGAGGCAGGTTGTCACACAGGTGCCCACTCTTCGTGTTCTCTTGAAGCATCTCCTGCTGGGCAGAATCAGATAGACAGTACTAGAGGAGCACTGAGTTTATTTAGGAGCAAAGAGAAAGGAGGCAGTCAAAGTGTGTCCTTGAGGTACTTTGTGCCTCAGGTTATGTGATGGGAGCAGTCCCTGCAGAGCCACTCCTGTCTCTTCATGCAGGCTTAGGGAAAACTAGGGACACGTAAGGCAGTGGAAAGTAATTTTATGCGTTGGTTTATTAGGGAAAAAAAAAAAGAATAATTATATTTGAAGACTGCATCATGCTTCATAAGCTGTATTAAAAGGTAAAGTTTAAGAAATAAGTGTTGGTGTGAAACACTTTGTATAGTGTTAGATGGAAAGAATGTTATACAGCTATTCTTCATGGTAGTGGTGACATGTTCCACTGAAACAGGAGCTACAGCATCCCTCTACATAGCCCTGGTGCCACTGCTGCTGAAAGCTTCAGCGCTTAGCCTAGTGTTTATAAATATAATCTTCTTTCAGTTCTCTGTAAAATCAAAATGAAAAGAATTCTTCCTTTTCAGAGTAAGACTGTCTGTATGCATGTGTAGTATTAACAGTAAAATAGCACTGGTTTATAAAAACGTGGCATGGGTTATTACATAAAATATGCTTTCCACTTTAATGAGCAAAAAGTTCTAAGTTTATCAGTGTCTTAATTGGTTCCTTCTGCTCTTTCATCTGTTTTGTCTCACTCTTCTCCCTCTTTGCTGAGGACCTTACTTTGCCCTTTCTCCTCCTGTAAGCTTTTCATTGCATATGATGTGTTGAACCCTGATTTCCTGTTGAGATTTATGGCAGGACTTTCATTTGATGCTGAGTGTTGACATGTTTTGGCATTTCAGTGTGTAATCATAGGGGCACAGAACAGCTTAAGCAACACTATATGGGATAACTCATGTACAGTACCGCTAGCTTGGATTTAAGTTTCCTTTTGATTGCATGAAGATTTTGGATCATCTTTATATCACTTGATAATTGCCTTCTTTAAAAATTATTTGGCTAAATGTTAGAATTCTCCAGTAAGTGGTGGTGCACTATGTAT